AACTGTTTGGTTGTGCTCACGAACCGATATCATCCTGTTTTTCAATACAGTTTCGACTTCTTCCTTGCCACATCGATTCCTTTTATGAGAGCCTGCAGTGCCATGCGACAAATTTAGCCGGGGTTTTTTATTTGGCAATGAACCTGGCTAGGGTACCACGAGAAATGTGTTAACCACGCGACAACTTTGTCTGCAAGGTTCCTGGTAAATAAATTTTCATTTTGTCCAAAACTTTTTAGTCAAGGACAACCCTTTACTGCTCATCCTTGTGTGTAACCAATAAAGTGCTGACAAATGTGAAGCAGAAAGATTACCCGACTGCTCGGTTCTCGAGTTTTGAATTGGGCCGAGGACTTGCTCACAGCCGTCTGTACATTCAGTATGCTCATTTATTGAATGACGTAGGTGACCTTTTCTGATGCGTCAATATCGTCGCCGACATTTTGTTGTTCTTTACTCGATCGTACTGGCTGGCTGTGGGGTAGTCGTAATAAAAGTTAGTTAGAGCGAGGGCGTAAAATTGGTCAAGTGACAAAAGCACAGCCCACACAGGTTAGCAATTACGCGGTGGGACGACGCCGACAATGGGCACTTAGACGGCGAAAATGTATCATATTTATAAGGAAAGCAATCGTATATTGAAAAATTGGGTAATAGGGCGAGGTTGGCTATAAACCGACTATATATATATATATATATATATATATATATATATATATATATATATATATATATCACGTGTTGTTCATTGGTGATTTGCAGTTGTTTGTTCAGAGTTGTGTTTGAGGCGCTGATTATTATATGTTGTCTATCCAATAGCAGCTTTGTGGCTTTGATTCCGTCGGCACCGCTTGAGCTCCCTGCTTCCAAGCGCTTGCTGCTTACAATCTCCAGCATTCGCGTTTGCATTCGAATTGAATAGGGTGTTATACTCAACAATTGTCTCTGGAGTCTAAATACTCCACAACGCTTCCTTTCTTTGGAGTGAAGTTTGGAACTTGGGATTCCAAACTCATCAACTTTCGTTTGATATGGGCACCTTGTCGTACCATGCATCTCAAGAAATGTCGTTCCGGAACATCCCTGTAAAGTGAACAATTCCGACAAGTATGTAATTAGCCATTAGTATTGTTACTGCATAAATCACTTTTTACCAGCGTACTGACGACACCCATCTAAACGCACGGTCTGGGCTGTGAAAATGAAGGCGGTTGGCAGAATTAATTGTACTGAAGCAGCCGTGGTTCTACATAAATTAGGAACGGACCAGTAATTAAGCACGGATCTCATTCCACGTGTTCAGTTCGGACAGCTTGCATCTATTCAGCGACATACTAAATGGTGCATTGAAACAGTGTCCGGATTTCTGAACTATGCACATCGTTGTCAGTAAATTATGAACGTTATATAATAAAGACTAAGCGGAAAATATAAAATAGGTACTTCAGTAATTAATTCAGATTCTGAATGTGATCAACTGTGGTGGGCTGTACTATTGTCGTGGTTACAACTGAGAAGAAAACTATACTACTTCTAACTAAACAGTAGCAAAGTTACGCCCTTGAAACAGGAATTCACATCTGTTACATCGGTGAATCAGGAATTCACAACACTGATGTTGGTGCTTCATGTTCTGATTCGCGTAATCGCCATGAGTGGAACCATAGCAGTATTCTACGTTCTACATCTGCCGATGTTAAATTGACCTAGCTTATGAAAGTCGGTGTTGTTGTTTTCACCAATTAAGTGCACTATTTCCTTGCTAACCTGAACGGTTGCTTACTCCATTTCCGTCCTCTGCTTTGTGTCATCAATCTGTCAACAATACAAGCCGCTTGAATATAGTTTCGCTCCATAATGATAAATTACTAACTCGGTGCCATGCAATATCTCTGTTGCACCCGTCTGAGACTTTAGAACCACATCTTACTTAGCTCGATTGCACTTCACGATTACTCCACGTGTTGCCCACTACATTGTTGTACTCTTTAATAGCATTTCTACCTTTTTAAGTGGGTTCTATTACATTGACATGCCGAGACGATGAGCTACGGCATCTTCATATTCGTCTGTGATTCACATCACCATGTAAGCTCCATGGTATTTCCCACCAGACTATGCGAGGCTGCCTCTATCTCTGTCTCTACTCAGGTTCTGCTCCTTGAGATTTTTTTTTAGATTACATGACCCTATCTCAACCAGCTGTCCAATGTTAGTATTGCGCTTAGTGAGTTGGTGCGTCGCAGGATTATGGTTCAATCCATCCATGACCTCATCCGCATAAGGCATGGGCGTGTGTGTGTCAGTTGAGTCCATTTCGCTGAGTCTTCCGAGCGAATTGAGCTGTTGCTACGGTTCTGTGATTGGATCGCAAATTATGGAGTGCGTGTGTATCCGAATGTTGTAAACAAGCGTGTCAGTCGGATCAAAAACAGCTATTGTTCCTCGATTTTCCATTATCTGTTTCTCTCTCTCTAGTTTCTCATGACCTGAAGATTAACTGTTGATTAGTGGCCCCACTGGCAGACGTTAACAGCAAAATAGAGTAAAGATATACATCCCTATTGAGTCGTATCTATGCCTACCTATTTGATGACGAGTGTCTTGGGGTCAGGTACATCATAGGACACGATTCACTCACGAAATCAGCCGCGATCTTGCTCATTTCCTTAGTTATAAACCTTGGCTACTTTATCTGAAGCAATTGTTTTTTATGTATTTCTCTGAAGTTTACTCTTTTGTATTACCATCTTGACGACATTGATCTAAGTAACTACACGATTTCTCAATTGATTACATCATCAGCTCAATCGCTTTCCTCTTTAAGGCAGCAGCTTTCCTCCGTAGCGCACAAAACATAATCCGATAACCGTCGGAAATGCATCCAGGATCCCGCTATCAGCCAATGTCATTCGGACAATATACCAGCTTGGCTATTGAATCTGTACCCACCTGCGGCACATAGCAATCGCGCTTTGCGGAGAGGGGTAGCAAAATTTGGCTACACTACAACTAGACCCATGCAAGGTAGGAGATATCCGCGTGGTCAAACTCAAATGGGCGGTAATTTAGGCCTTGCTACACGGACCTTAGCCATCCGCTCGGCTAGGCGCGCAATGTGTCTGTTCGCGCTAGCATTGGACAATAGGGTGAGCGGAGCCAAGTCGTCGTTCCCGAGCTGATCCGAATAACAAAGTCTGGGACTTAGAGGCAAGGCGAAGCCAGCTCCGTTCCGTAGTCAACATGAACGCAGGCGTGGCAGTGATCATGTCCGGGACACGGTGTCAAGCCTGAAGTGAGTTAGAGCGTGATCAGGCCCGTAGCGAATTGACTTCAAACGGCCTTACAACAGGGCTTGGGCGAGCAAATGTAAGGTCCGTTTGAGGTGAGGGGCTAAGTGAGCGAAGTCGCTGATGGTTGAACATATTTGTCCTATTTTTGCCATATTCATCTAACTTACAGGGGAAAATTGAAATTGCGTGAGACATTATTTTGTCGAACACTTTACACAGCAGTTTAATCCGGCAGTCAATAACTTTATCGAACATTGAAAGCACTTCTCCCTGGGCCGTTTCTTTGCATCCGCTTTCACGCTCAGAAGTGGAAAGCGAGATCCGACTATTGAAATTAAATAATGCCGCACAAGCATTCTACACATTCGAGAGACCAGCTCTTGTGGATGATTTGCACAACTTACTTATGAGGCTGTATAGGCAGAAGAGTGTTTCGACAGACTGGAACCGCTCCTTTTTCAGGTATGCTCACGTTCAGAATGTGGCAGTCATGGGGGTATCTCTTTGATCCCCATCGCCTCTCAGTCACTTTCTTCTATCGTTCATCGTAGGCCAGCTGACACCAGTAAAAGCGTATCCTGCGTCTCGTCGAGGTTGTATTGACCACCCTTTCCATTACATCACTTCTTGGAAAACCACCATATTTATTGGCGACCCACTCTAGTCGTCTTACTCGACATCAAAGGTGCCTTTGATTCGGTGGATCGGTGTGCAATTTGGGACTGTCTAATGAGGCAACGTGTGCCCAAGAAATACGTAAACGTTATCAGAGCGCTGTACGCGCATAGTTTAGGCAGAGTATCAAACTGTCGATGCCCCTCAATATCTCCAGTGGTATGAGACAGCGATAAGCGCTATTACTTTTCATTTTCAACGCAGCCATTGAAAAACTCGTGTAAACTGCGTTCACTGGGCACGATATACAAGGTATGGAGCTGCCCCAAGTGAACAACCTCTTCACTTGGAGTGCGCGGACGACATTGTCCTTATTTGTGACAGCTCACAGAGGTTCCGAGTTATACTGAGCAACTTAGCACTGTCTGTTTTGGGTCATGCTTTGCACTCTCGAAATGCAAAGTCCTTGTCCACGATTGCAGGGACCCACCCACCCGCTAACCCTCAGTGGGTATCAACTAGAAGTCGTTCATAAATTCAAGTATC